TTGATTTTTTTTTTTACTGCCCATAAAAATTGCCTATTTAATCTCTGATGTTCATGTAGTGACTCTCAAGTTGAATTTCCAATTTTTTTTTCTCTTTCCAGCATCCTTCTAGCATACACCGGTATTATCAGAAACAAATGTATGCTGACTCTGTCCTGTTACCCCAGACTCAATGGCTTGGTTTCCAGTGCCTTCTATATAGCGTGTACCCTCTGTTTTCTTGACTCAGGGAGTACTGCTTGTTCTGCAAACATTACAAACCTGTGACCACTCATGAGGAATTAGGGAGGCCCAATTATAGTGTAGAGTTTCTTTGATGAATTGTAAAGTGTATTCTAATTTCTGTCATGTCTGTTTTCATATTGCTGCCTTTTATTGCTTTTGCCCACTTGCATTTTATTTATCATCTATATTTTCTCAACTTCCTATGTGCCTTTATTATGACAGGTTTTTACCAGGTGTTTAAAATAATGTCTTTGGCAGACATAACAACTTATTTTTTCCTTTTCTGGATCATTAAGGTTGATTTTAAATAAAATTAGTCCTGTCTGCAGTCACTGAATCTGTCTGCTAAGTTCTTATCAGTGCTGTTCATTTAGAAATTGAACAAAGGGAAATAATAAACTCCCTGTTCTATGACTTCCTCTTGTTTAGGATTCTGCTCAATTGCAGTAGAATTTAAGTTCACTTCTTCAGTGCTGTTGTGAACGCCTGTAAAGGAAACAAATAAAACTGAGTTGTCAGAGCTTCAACCTTGACCTTTCCTTTTGCCTTTTTGGCCTTTAAGCCTTGATATGGGTCATGAGATTCTGCTTGGTTCTTTCCAGGCTCTGTATCTTTGAACTTCATCTCCTGCTTCTTCAGTTTCAGGGTTCCTTTAATTCTTTGTTGTGTTTGTTTCATCCTGTGGCCATTTTCAGGGCTTTGTTCTACAATGCCTACAACAGTATCTGTCAGAGACATTATCAGCTGCAAAGCTTCTATTTCACTTGTCTTTCCAGCTCCACACAGGTGACTGAGATCTTCCTCTTCCCATCTCTGATAGAGACTAAATTCTTTACTGTCAAGTAGCATATTCTCTTTGATGGTCTCTCAGGTAAGAAGATTTGAGAGTGTATTCAAACCTACTTGCTTTTCTTCTGTCATTTTTTTTTTTTCAGCATGTTTACACTTCCCCCTCAGATCTTTTGCAGATTATAATCACGAATTCTTCAGGCTTCCACCTAAGAGCATAAGCTCTGCAGATTGATGGGCCTGAATTTGAACCCTACACTGTATCATTTTGGATGAGTTACTGGATTAGTTAAGATTATCTGCCAGTTACAGAGACCACAGAGAACAATGGCTTAATTAAACAAAGAAATGTTTGTTTCTCTTTCACGTTAAAAAAAATGTTTGCAGAGAGACAGTCCAGAGCTGGTATTATGATTTTGCAAATCTTTTCAGACCTAGGCTGGTTCCACCTTTTAGAACCCCAAACATCAAATCAGACCCTCAATCTCATGATCCAAAGGGGAGCTTAGGCCGTCACATTCAGGTTCCAAGTTTAGAAAGGAAGACAGAAGGAAGGAAGGAAAGAAGACAAGGGGAAGAAGCAAGAGCCCATGATCTCTTAAGGAAATTTTTTGGAGGCTGTCATACACTTCTTATTACATCTCATTGACGAGACTTTGAGTAATATGACCTCATCTAGCTTTTCACTTTGACGCATTGGAGAAGGAAATGGCAACCCAGTCAAGTGTTCTTGCCTGGAGAATCCCAGGGACAGCGGAGCCTGGTAGGCTGCCTGCCGTCTATGGGGTTGCACAGAGTCGGACATGACTGGAGCGACTTAGCGACAGCAGCTAGGATACAGGCTAGGGAATATTGCTCTTACTTGAGACAATCTTAAGCCCAGCTAAAACGTGGGAGTTTTGCATCCTTAGTAAGATAGAGGGAAAGAAATATTGGAGTAGTCAAATACCACTGTTATTCTACTTCTCTTTTTTCTTGACTGTTATTACTCATCTCACAGGAGTCTTAAGATTAAAAGAAATGTTAACATGAAAGCATATAATACAGTATCTGGCGTAAAACAAGCTTTCAGTAAATGTTATTTCATATTCCTTACTCATTTTTCATAAATTATCTCATTTCTCTGCCACCACATCATTGGTATCCAAATCCCGTTTTAAATACTGGCCCCAACTGATGGTACTAGAATGTAGTCAGGTTCCTTATCATGGGAGGGAGCAGCACATTAAGACTCAATGTCAGCATCTACTTCTTAGCTTAGAGGGTGGCTAAGATTTAAGATATAGCTCTTGGAATCAAATATAGCTAGATTTAAATCCTGGCTCTGTCACTTACTCAGTATGTAACCTCAGCCTCTTGCACCCTCAATTTCCTCATTTGGAGACCTGGAGTAAGATTCAGATATGAGGAGTATGGAAAAATAGTATTTAGAGTGCCTAAGAAATTGCATGATAAAATGCTAGCTTTTCTTTTAAAATTTGGCCCATTATAGGTGAACCTTTCAGAAAATGAACTCTTATTCCATTAAAAAGAAGTTTTAAGATTGGTCATCTCCATACGTATCTAAATGAGTGTTAAATTTTTAGTCATACTTTTTTAGAATTGTCCCCAAAATCAGTCTAAACCTTGAATAGCAGGAAAATCTTTGCTTTTTTAAAAAAATTAAAACCAGAATAGCTTGGCCTTAACTTTCCTTAGCCTTGATTTTGGCAGATCCACTTTCAGAAGCAGAATCATTCCCACCAGTGGGTATATGTCATAGTATTTTATTTTCAGCATCTGTTTGTTAAGCACCTGCTGTGTACCAGATATGACTATGCCAGGTTCTAGGGACACAGCAGTAAGCAAAAACATACATGGTCCCTGCCACCGTGGGAATAGCAACGTACTAGGGGAGACAGGAGAATCAATCACTGCAAATAAATGAAAAAAATGCCACTTAACATGGTCAGTAAGGAGATGTACAGGTGCTATGAAAGTATGTGCAAATATCTTATGGTCGGAAGTTGAATGATGTCTTTAGGAAAAAGTCGGCCAGTGAGCAGAAGCAAAGAGGTGTTGTGGGAGTGTGGTTTGAAATGAGCTCTGCCATGAGATGAGCGTGGTCTGAGCACGGATCAGTGTCCCACAGGTTTCCAGCACCACACTGAAGAAGGCATATCGTGTAGAGCCATCAGTAAGACATGTATACGTAATATATAACTTCTCCATGTGAGTCTCTGAAAGGGTCTACATGATTCAGGAACAATTTAATTCTTTTATAATTAATTTGTGCTTTAGTGACAAGCTTTAAATTCAGATACCTTTTTTAAATTTTTGATACACCAAGCAGATGCATCTGAGAAAATAGGCAGTAAAATAGGGTCTTTTCAGAGGGTCAGAGGATTGATCTGCATCTCCCTTAGCGAGTGGAATTTGAAGACCTTTGGCTAGACAGGGTTACATGAAGGAAGGTTGGTAGAAGAATAGGTAACCCACAAAGCAGCAGTGGATGATGACCACAGGCGGGGAGGCAAAGGCGGTGTTTTCCGGAGAGTGGGCTGCATTAAGGCCCACAGGCCGCCCAGCATCCCGTCTCTCCAAGGCCTTCAGGCTCGCATAGATAGGACCCAGCTTAGCACCTTGGCAGTGGCATACCATTTTTCCTTGTCCTTTCCAGCTGAGCTAATGGGGGCATCCTTTGCAAGAAGTGTTGTGTCTCTCGTCCCTTTGAGGGCCTTGGAGAGTGTCTGGGAGGCTCTGCTCCCACATAACATGTTAAGGCATGACTGAGCCTATGGGGCAGAGCTGCCTGCCATTGGGCTTCAAGTTGTTTCTTGCTCTGAGCAGATAACATTTATGATGAATTTCGTCCATCTAAAAACTTTAAAGTTCATCTCTCTAGGCAAAACTGAGTTTGTTCCTGGCCCCCGTTTCAATGCCCAGATAAGCAGCTGAGCAAGTGACTTGTCTTTGAAAAGTGTGGGTGAGTCATGATGCAGTTTCTAGATGTGCAGTGCTGTGCTTGGCGGGCAGGTTCCCAGAGAATTTATGCTCTGCCTGCACTGCCCTAAGGGGCCACAAGCCTTTTAACTTCACCCTCCCAGGAATGCCTTTGGAGCTGGGACTTCCTCTGGCTAACCAGTTGCCTGGTAGTTGGAATTCCTCCCTCAGAACATGCCAACCTTGTTACAACACCAGGGACTTCTCCATTGCCTGGACCCCTTCCCTTACGAGTCTATGTAACTGCTTCCTTTTCAGTAAATAGTTGGCTCCAGTGACCTCAGAAACCCTTGCCCTGATCACCTCGGGTAAAATACATCTGCCTGCCCTCATTGTAGTCTTTCAGGCTTTTGGTTTATTGTTTGCTGCCCTCTCCCTACCCCTACCAGAATATAAGTTCTGTGAAAGCGAGGATCTTGTCTCCCTAGTATACCCGCTTTTAAGCCTGGTAGGTAGTAAAACTCCCCAGACTGCTACATGTGGTTTGGGGCAAAAAAAAAAAAATAGCCCTTTGAACATAAAATGGGGATAATAGCTCCTGTGCTACCTGCCTCATGGAACAGTGAGGAGCTGGAGTTGGTGTATACCAAAGACACTCTCCCCACCCCAAACTTGCTGTTCAGCTTTAGATTTCACATTTTTGCAAACAGCAATACCATTTACCCAATTATATAGCCCTAAATACTTAGAACTCATTCTGGGCTTCTCTTTGCTTTGTTCCCTGTTAAACTGCTCTATAAATTATGGTAACCAGTTTGTCCAGAGGCCGCATCCTTCAGGTCCCTCCCATCAGCACCCTTCCTTCACAGCTTCTTGACTGCCTTGAGTCTTTTCCAGGCCTGCTGCTTATTGCCTGCAACCAGTAGTTCAGTTTGTAGTCTTTCCAGTCTTCTATCCCCCAATTTGTTGTCCACACAAGAGGAAAGTAATGATTATGAAAGGTAAATTTCATACCACCACTGCCTGGTTTAATAATCCTTTAATGACTTACTTTGTCAAAGCATCAAGTCCAAATGCCTTGGAGAGCCATTAGTAGTCTTCCTCTGCCTGCTTCTTCAACTCTCCAGTTTCACCTTTCACCCCTCATCATTTCTAAATCACCAGCACGTGCACTGTGGACACAGCATGCAGTCACAGCCCGTACACCAGGCATCCTAAACTGTTTGCAGTGCAAGGAGGAAGGTAAGAGGTAGCCAGATGGCTCCACTCCATGCCCCCGGCCCCCTTTTTTAGCCTTTTCTCTGTCTGTGGTGTTCATATCCCCTTGTCACCTGCCCGTGTCTCAGCAATCAGTTAAAGCATACTTTTTCTGGAAGACCATTCCAGACCCTTTCCTCTGCCTACCACTTCCAAGAGCTCCTGATTCCCTTCTCTGTGCTACCTCCGAGCACACTTCCTATAAAGATTATTTTGTTTATCCTCTGATTGAGCGTCCTGAGCCAGGCATTATACTTGGCATGTAAATTGATATCTGGGAAAGAATTAGGCAATAAAACTCAGTATACTTATTTTTTAGTCCAGGGTTTTGTTTCAATAACATACTTTCTGACTGGTATTTGAAAATTTGGAAGGTCTCCTTGAAGGTTGGAAGTATGAAGAAGAATTATGTATATGCCAGTAGTAGATATCAGTTGAATGACCAAAATATTTTGTCAGTGAGCTAGTGTTTACTGAACATTTATTGTGTTCAGAGTTCTGAATTTTGCCATTTGCAGGACAGGCTTGAGTCAGCTTTTGGAACTTTTTAAAATAACTCTGGCTTTTTCATTCTATCAGAAGTCAGAGTTTTAGATGGTCAGCGCAAGTTCTTGGTTTACAGGCAGTTTAGAACAAAGTATCTGAATGTTTTTTGTCCAATACCCCCAAAAGGATTTTGAAACACTGTCTCCCCTCTTCATGTGTTTTAAAAGTTTTATCTAAATTTTTTTTTAGTTGTAAAAGATGGCACTTGTGATATGTAAATATTGATTTAGAAAGACATCTTTTCTATTGTACTCAGTGTAAGTTAAATACTAAAACGATTTTGTATCTACTATGCCATCCATTTAAAAAACACAAAAACAAGCTTGTTTAGAAAAGCTGGAGATTTTACATAGTTGAAGTTCTTGTGACTATAAGGCTCTCAATATTACATAAAATTTCATTTGGATTGAGTTTTTATGATTTTGACTAATATACAGTTGACCAGAACAAGTATATTAGAATTTTGATAAATAATTAATAAGCAGAGGTAAAACTTTATGGGAAATAACTTCTCGATGAGATGCCTAGGACTTAAAAATATTTATGCATAAGTAAGTATTTCATATTGCTAGGATAAGATAGGCTTCATAATCAAGTTTTCTTTTTAAATGTAAGTGCTTAAGACACTTTCCCATATGTATATGAAAATGAAGGCAATATAATTCCACTCTATTTTTTAAACTTCTGAGGTGTATGCCAAAATTACTTAGTAATTGATCACAAAAATGATTTTCCATGTTCTGCTGTCTGACTTGGTTAAATCTCCCTCCAGTGTTGTTTGAAGCAGAGAAGTGGATACTTTCCCTTAACTCCCAAAAGGATGTTTCAGTCTTAAAAGTCATTCACCTTCTTAACATCTATAACCCTACCGTTATCTCAGATGACCCTCAACTTGGGGCCTGGAGATTTTTACTCCCCAAGGCAGTGTACCATAAGCATACTCCTGAGAAATGAAAGGTTTGCCTTTCTTATGGAGTGTGGGTAGAGGATAACTAAGAAAAGGGGAAAAGGGAGATGACCAGAAGGAACCAACTGGACATCAGGTGTTCTGAAATAGATACTTTATTTTTTGGCTATACTGCAAGGCATGCTCAGGCTCTTTGTTCCCGGACCAGAGATTGAACCTGTGCCTCCTGCAGTAGAAGCACAGAGTCTTCACCACTGGGCAGTCGGGAAAGTCCCAGAAGCAGATACTTTTAGACAGGGGTTAATCGGTGATCTGAAAGTAGATTCTACCAGATTACCCCTTCTTCCAAACACTAAAGGCCTTCCAAATCCCATACCTCACTTTGTAGATCAATTGATTGGGTGCTGAAAAAGACTTTTCCCTGTCAAGTTAGCTATCAACTCTAAGGGAAAGTGCCCCTACTAAGCCAATTTAAAAATTTCTTCTTGGTGGACAGGAATATTCAATAGGGAAAGAACATGGTTAGAATGAATCACTGTTTTAAAAAGACTTGATGGAAGCTAACTTGATACCATAGTGATGGAATCACCATTATCCACTTTAAGAAGTATACTCAAACTCTCCTAGAATATTTAGAAATACTTTTTATACCCATTGTTAGGTAGACTAGATACAAATAGAATGTTGGTAAAGATCAACAGATGCTTGACTGACAGTCACATAGGTCAGTAGGTGACTGATTTCTAATTAGTCCCATTGAAAAAAATTTTTCTGCAGCGTTTTATCAAGAATACTAGTTTTTTGTTTTTGGTTTTTGTGTTTTTTTTTTTTTTTCCAAAGAGGAGGTTGTGAATTAAATGCCAAAAGATTTGGTCCCAAGCTAGGTTTAGGACATTTTTTTTCTTTGCAGATTAATGCATTCTGAAGGGAGAGGAGTTGAGCCTGGGCCATCATCCCATTGATTAAGAAGTCTTTCCTGGGGTCCTCTTGATCCTAGATGCTTTCGACACCATGTATGTAAAGACACTGTTCGGAGGTCTGCTGTGCCCTTGCCTTCTCCTACCAGTTTGTAGCAAATCTCTCCTGAAACACTTACAGAGCCCTCACTGCATTACTTACTCTATTTTTTGATGTTGCTTCTAGTATACTAAAGCATTTATACTCACATTTATCCTCCTGATGACTTGTGGAAGACAGGTCAAGTATTATTCCCATGATGCAAATATACATACTGGGTTTATAAAGGGATATGTGGCTTTTCTCAGCACACTCCACATGTTAGCTGCAGATCTTGTACCTGATAAAGCAATTTTTTCTATGTATATTGGCTGCTTCCTTTTTCCAGTCATTTTATAGAAGGCTCTAAAGATTGGAAAACTTGCTGTAAAGTGGTCATATAAAAATTAAGATAAATATGCTCATAAATGCTTAGTAGAGTACATTGTTCTTAGCAGGCCCCCAGCTTTTTTAAAAAGAAAAAAGATGTATTTGAATTTTGAATCTGCTTTTCTTCATTTTATGGATTAAAAAAATTATTCAGTATTTTTGGGGGCACTTATTATTTGCCAGGCATCACGCCAGCCCTGGGAATAAATCTAACAATGAAGAAAACACAAAAAACATTTTTTTGCATGGACTGTACATCCTAGAGGAGGGAAGATAGAAAATAAGCAAATCTGACATACAGTATTGATCTTAACAAGTATCTCTTTTTAACTTTTTTATGTTGTAGGTATCCTTGAGGGTCTTTCCCAGAATAATATAACACATATGCATAACATTTTAACATGCCTTGAAATCATCCTTACAACACTTTAAGTTCATTATTTCTGTTCTCAGTTTTTCTTTTTACTGATAAGACAGTAAAGTTGAAAAAAGCAAAGTGAAAATCATCCAATATCACAACTAGTTGGCTTCCCTGGTGGCTTAGCATTAAAGAATCTGCCTGCAGTGCAGGAGATGTGGGAGACTTGAGTTTGATCCCTGGGTCAGGAAGATGCCCTGGAGAAGGAAATGGTGACCCCCTCCAGTATTTTTGCCTGGGAAATCCTGTGGACAGAGGAGCCTGGCAAGCTACAATCCTTGGGGTCACAGAGTCGGACACAACTGAGCGACTAAACAACAAAGCTGCTAGATTGTTAAACTCTCAGTTTAGTCCATGAAGTGTCTCCTGCTTTATGTCTGTGTGTGTGTATACTGCTTTTATTTATGTAGAACACCTCCCCACCTAGCTTATGTGGCTAAGTGTAGCTCCTTTTCCCATTTCCTGACCCATAACAACATAAATAATATCCCAAGTATTCCAAATGTCTTAGAAATTTTTCAATGAGGAGAACTCAGGCTGGGAAGATTTTCTTGCAGACCTGGTAGGGACTAACAGTGCCTTTGAATGTCTGTGTACAGACACCAGAGGGGTTGGTAGTGGGAAAGGCCTTGTCCCAGTTTCAACAGGGACCCTCACCAACCCACCCAGTGATTTCCTCTTTGGACATTTTATACAAAAACTTCCAAGATAAACTTGTCAGTTTCAGGAAAATATTCATTGTGGCAACTTATCTTCCCAGCCACACTTCCGTCACAGATGTCTCAACTTTCAGTACTATGAAATAACCAAGAATTTTAGGTAGTAATCGGAATGAGTGTGTAATTTTCAAAATTGGGTGCTGTGTAAAGGTTTTGATTTGCATGCAAGATTTTCTAATAAAATCTATCTAGCTTTTAAAACCTTCAAAACTTACCAACTCCACCTCCTACAAAACACTGATATTTACTGAAATTTTAGGCTGCTTTCTATTGTTGCTCTCTTAAAGACAAAGAAAACCTACTTTTTTCCATTAGAAGTTCCCCGTAATGTTATATTGTGAGAAGAATTGTATCCTCTTCTCTCTTAACCAGTGAAAAGCCCTTTCTTCCATATTCCCCATCCCCACCTCCATTTCTGGGTATTTCTAGCCTACTTTTCCATCTGTGTGCCTTGTTACTATGGTGATGGGCACCATAGAAATGGAGAACAAAGCGGATGTAATAAGCATCTCCTACATGGTTCACAGTGCTAAAAAGGGATCTAGGTTTTTTCAGGCTTGTTCTTTATTGGTAGTAGAACTGGACCAACCCAACTGGGAGAGGGCACTGGGGTTATGAGCTGATTCAGGCCCTGCTTTTCTCATTGTTCTCCTCTTCCCCAGACCTTTCTTTACCCAGAATCATGAAAGTGAACAAAGAGTAATGGGGGCTTGTGGAGGGGATGTAGTACAGAAATTAATGTCATAGAGTCACCACATTGCGAAAGACAAATCTACTGAAGCATATTACATGAGAGGGAATCATGAACTGGTTTTAAGGTTTAGCAGTCATCAATCCTATTACCTGAGTTAGTATTGTTCAACTTTACCTCACATTAGAGATTTGCTAGCCTAGATTTTCCTGCCTTCAAGATGCTTAGCCTGTATTAGACTTTTTAAAAAAAAAATGAATACAAATTTATCTTAATTACTGATAGCTTGCAGTATTTGGTCCCATCTGTTTGAATTTTTTAAAATCAGAGGTTAAACTAATGTGTACTTATTTTGCTTGTTTTATAATTACAATTAAATACTTCCCCTGCATTGTGGAAATTAGTATTTTCCGTAAAATCTGGGAGAAGGTGCCCACAGGTATTTACTTTTATTTTTAATTGGAGGATAATTGCTCTCCAGTGTGTGTTGGTTTCTTCCAGACAACAGTGTGAATCAGCTGTCAGTATACATGTATCCCCTCCCTCTTGGGCTTCCCTTTAACCCTTCCACATGCATGATCATTCTTTAATACATCTTCTTGTATCAGATTCTTGGACAACCATAATGAAATACCCAAAGATTAAATAAAATATTCCAGTTAATCAGTTTCATCTTCTGGATGGTTATTTCTAAATTTTTTAAAATTATGTTTTAAGTTTTACATTGCTCATATTTTATGTCCGTGTTTTATGTACAAGGGAAAAAACTTAGCACAGTGCTTTAGTATATAAAGTCATAGAACATGAATCAAATTTGGAGCTAACAAAGATGAACATTCTGTTTCTGTGTTCTCTTGTAGCACGAAGGCCTGAAGTTCTTTTCGACTCTAAATTCTTGTTTCTTTGGTCACATGGCTCCTTCCTTTTTGCCTGATGAAATAGTATTTTGCCAATTTTCTCTTCTATAATGGCTCTTATACTGATGTGAAAACAAGCTCGAAATCAACCTCACACTGTGTGTGTTTTAAGTATAGACCGAGTGTAGCCCTCCCTGCCAAAGTCAGCTCTTCCCCTTTGTGTCGTGAGCAGAAGAGTGAGAGCACCAGAGACTAGAGCGGGAGCTGGAACTTTGAAAATCATAGCTTCTGCTGCAGCAAAATGCATCTGTTAAAACCTAACCCTTAAGGTGATGGTGTTGGGGGAGACGGGTGAGAGGTAATTAAGTCCCAGGAGTAGAACCTCCAAGAATGGGAGTTGTGCCTTTGTGAAAGCGACCCCGGAGAACGCCCTTGCCCCTCCCGCCACGCATAGACGCAGAAGCAGTCCTCTGCGAATCAGCAGGTGAGCTCGCACCAGACACTGACTCTTCTGGCGCTTGATATTGGACTCCTCAGCTTCTAAAGCTGTGAGAAATAAGTGCTTATTGATTAAGCCTCCCCATCTTTGGGATAGCAGCCCAGATGGATTAAGGCAGCTTCAAAACCTGAGTGTCTTCTGACTAGAAACGAGAGAAGACTTGGGAGAAGTAGTGTGGGTTCTGTGGGAAGGATAATGACTTTTTGCAGAGGAGAGGTCTGTGGAAACCAGGTAGTCCCTCCACACAGGACAGCTCCTTGTTTCCCAGGAGGCTTGAGAACTGTGGGCACGTTGGATTGGTTTTGTGGGCAGAACAGAGCTTGTGTTTGCCAGGAGTTTCTGCCTTCATGGGCAGTTGTTCTCTGATGCCTCCTGGGAGGAGGGAGTATCCATTGCATTTGATATTATCATCAGTGAGAAGGTAGAAAGTAGGCCAGCTAAACTATTTCTATTTTTACAGTCAAGCTGGCGTTCTGAGACACTGTGTCACTTGGCTCCCAGTTAAGGAAGATGTTAGGCAGGACGGGAGTTCACTCTCCTTAGGCATTTTGCTGACCTCTGCTGCTCCACTCATGACTGAAGGAAGAGGTGAATGAATGAATGGGTGTTCAGTCTGCTGGTCATTTTATTGAGTTGTCAGTCAGTCAGTTCAGTCGCTTAGTCGTGTCTGACTCTTTGCGATCCCATGGAGTGCAGCACACCAGGCCTCCCTGTCCATCATCAACTCCTGGAGCTTGTTTAAACTCATGTCCATCGAGTTAGTGATGCCATCCAACCATCTCATCCTTTGTCGCCCCCTTCTCCTCCTGCCTTCTTTCCCAGAATCAGGGTCTTTTCCAATAAGTCAGTTCTTCCCATCAGGTGGCCAAAGTATTGGAGTTTCAGCTTTAGCATCAGTCCTTCCAATGAATATTCAGGACTGATTTCCTTTAGGATGGACTGGTTGGATCTCCTTGGAGTCCAAGGGACTCTCAAGAGCCTTCCCCAACACCACAGTTCAAAAGCATCAATTCTTCGGCGCTCAGCTTTCTTTATAGTCCAACTCTCACATCCATACATAACTTCTGGAAAAGCCATAGCTTTAACTAGACAGACTTGTCAGCAAAGTAATGCCTCTGCTTTTTAAGAGGCTGTCTAGGTTAATGCTGAGCTACTTCTTATTCCCCTGAAAGATGTCTTTGAAGATTCTGCACATTCTGGCTGGTCTTCTGAGTTTGCCAGTTGTGCTGACATAGATAAATTCCGTAATTCTGTCTCAGTTGCCTCATCTGTAAAGTGGAGATAGCCTCATGGTGTTGTTGGGAGCATGAATAAGTTCATTGATATGAAGGGCTTAGTGTAGAATATGTAACATATGGTTATCTTTGGTGAGCATCAGCTTCCATGACTGAGTGTTAACAATATGCTGAGTGAATTTGACTGCTTTCAGCCTCACACCAGCTA